TTCCCGCCCCCCCCTGCCGATGCAGGGGACATGGGTTCGTACCCCGGTCCAGGAAGATCCCACATGCCGCGGAGCGGCTGGGCCGTGAGCCACGACCGCTGAGCCTGTGCGTCCGGAGCCTGTGCTCCGCAACAGGAGAGGCCACAGCAGTGAGAGGCCCGTGCCCCACCAAAGAAAAAAAAAAAAAAAAAAAAAAAACTAAGACATTTAAACTGGACTTCAATGTGTATATGAAAATATGAAAGATATAGCAGAATGAAGTGAAAGAGAAAAAACAGAAAAGAATAAATGAACACATTTAAGTTTCATTTGAAGTTAGTGTTAATTAGTGAAGACCTATTTCACATAAAACTTGTGTTTAGGTGATCACATGTAATTTCTATTATTTCTAATATAATACTTGCTAATAAATATATTATCATGTTAGCAACAGAGGCATATTGAAGCTTAACTGGCAGAATGGAATATAAATTTAAGACCAGTTAGGAGACTACTGCATTACCTCTAAGAGCTGACCATACACAGTGGAGGTGTCTTATGAAAGGGAGGAGATATATAAGCAATAATACCAACTTTATAGAATATGGTGTTTGACTGAATTTTGAAGTGATGTGGAGGAAGGAATATAGGGGTAAATTTCCAGGCTTCTGTCATGAGATTCTTGTGTCACAAATTCCAATGTTATATACAGGAAGAAAAGCATATACTGAAAGAAGGATGATGATTTAGTTTGATATATGATAAGCTGAGTATGCTTTTGAGTTTTACACATGGACCTGTCCAACGTGAGCTGCAACTGGATATATGGACTGAAGAATTTATTAGCATAACAGGGAAGCTTTTTGTCATGGACAAGTCTTGAATTACACAGAGAATATGATGAGGAAAACAACAAAATCAAGGACAAATACTCATGTAGAACCAAGTACAAGGCATCTCTCTTCATTCATACAACACTTATAGGGTCTTCAGGGAAGATGCTTCTGGTGTGGTGATAAGCATCACTATGAAGATTTAGAGGAGAATCGTTCAAGACACAAGGAGCAGAAAGTGCAAATGATAGGCATAAGCTTGGCATGTGTGAAAACCAGACCAAAGGCTAGTGTGGTGGTTGCACAGAAAATAAGTAGGAAAGTGGTAGGGGATGCGATTTGGAAAAGTAGGTTGGGCCTAAGAATTAAGTGGAGTGGTGGAAGAAGAGGAGTAACTATAAGTAAACTAAACAAAATTAAATCGTGTTTTTCAGACAAAGGTAAGAAGTAGAACATAAAAAGGTAAATGCACTGGGGAACTTCAAGAAGTTGGTGACCAGCAGTGTCAAATATTACAGAGTTTAGCTAATAATATACACCAGACACTGTAATATGTGGAATACAAAGACTTTTGAATTTGGAAATTGGAGGACATTGGTGACTTCTGTCAGAGCAATGTCAGCACAATGGTGGTGTGAGAAGCCAGATGGAAACAGGTTGAAGAATAAATGGGAGGAGGAATAGAATACCTTAGTGTAGTGTTAAGTGTCTGCGACATTAAACTTTTGATTGCCAATGCATACATTTTTTTTTTTTTTTTTTTTTTTTTTTTTT